GGCTCAGACAAGTCGACACCCACTTCTTCGCCCGCCGCCCTCAAGCGACGGGAGGGGAAGGGGGGCGGGGCGGAGAGGAGGACGGCGTCCAAGACCCAGATATCGACATGGAGATAGCGAGGTGGCGCCCTGCCTCGCCCGCGGGCGAATGGCCGGCCAGAGAGGGGCGGCGTTCCCAGGACGGAGCCGCCGCTCGCTCGGGGCCTCACGCAGCTTAACCTGGCCGCACAGAACACGCCGCCGCCGCTTCAGGCGGAGTGGAGCAACTCCCGCCGGTGCTGTGGAAAAGTTCGGCGGCGCCCGGGAGGAAAAGAAGGGACCCTCCTTCCGCAGAGTTATTATGGGAGAAGAAGGGGGCGCGGAGGGTGGGAGAAGCACCTGCGACGGAAAGACTCTCCAAAGGACTTCGCCGCCGCCTCGTTTCTAGGGGAGAATCCTGCCTGCCCCGGTGTGTTCAGTCGTGCTTCCAACATGCCGCTGCCAATCTCGCCTTAAATGTGTGATCTTCTCCGCCTGAAGGGCACAGTGTTAGTTGTGCACGCGATGAAACAACCGCCATGTGTCCTGTGCTGGAATTGTCCGAGAACCACGGCCCGCCTCCTGCCTGCATCATGGGATGTCCCGTGTCTCTCCGCCCACCCCCCCAAAAAATTTAGCAATTTATGGCCATATATAAAGACAGGATCTTCCGTGTGTAGTGGGGGTGGGAGGCGATACTTCGTCCTTACTGTAAAATGATAAAGCGTGGAATAATTTCTAAATTCAAGGAGCCCATGAACGACCAAATTCTCCACAGAAAATACCACTGCTTTTCGATAAACTTGTGAAGGTGGGGACGAACTCTGCTTGCTTCTCTGAATCCAAGTCTGTGTTCCGGGGAACAGAAAGAATTAATGCTATTTAAGAGTCCAATTAGGAGATCAGGCCTGTCCCTTTGAAAGGTCCAGAACAGGGCTTTTAAGTGTAGGGATAACACATCCAGGTTAATATTTGACAAAACTATCTGCTAATGTAGTTTAAGTGTTCATGTGAATAGGCCATAAGCGTGCTGGACATTTGCTTATCCTCAGGTTTCATGTTTCTGAAGTCCCATCACACATGAATGCCATTACATCTCCCAGCAGCTCCCCAATGAAGTTTTAATTTCTGACTCAAGACTGTGTTCTTGTACTTTATATATACACATATGGTAGACATATCTAGCAGGTGCAAGTCTGAAACATCTGCATGCCACACAATTATTAAAGGCACCAGAGCACTCACGGGATAAGTAGATACCCAACTTAGTTTAGTGGCTCAAGCACTGCTATAATTTGATGCATGGTTAGACTAGATTTCATTGTAAGTCTTTGGAGGTTAAAGTTCACAATTTTAGGTGTTACATGGACTTCATATACGCACAAGATCATAAGTGTACGTTACATGTCAATTAGCCCAGAATACTATTCCCTTGCTCCATATGTGCACCATTTAGAATTCTTTCATAATTCAGCTCTGGAAGGGGGTTGGGTGAGTCCACCCATTAATTACATATATTGTGAGTTCAACACCTGTTGTGAGTAAAGAGTTTTAAACAACTCATTTATGTGTTAAGCAATTCTGAATATACATCTTGAAACATCTCTAGCCTGCATCAAGATAGCTCACCATTATACTAGCTGCTACTTTCAGTATGAGTTTATAATCTGTTAAATCAGTTAATTTTCTTTGAATTTCAAAATCCAGACCACAAATTTTGTATCTTGAAACATTGTTAGCTGAAATTGAAGAAGCTAAGAGGTGCGAAAAGTACAGTGTAGCACTTAACATAGCTTAGTTTTAGATTCTGCTATATGTTATATTCACACAGAGGCATTACTTTTTCTAAACTGGAAAACAGCATATATGTAGAAACAAACGCTTGATTAAGCAGTTAAGAATGTGCTCAATGCTTATTGAAGGAGAGAGGGGAGGTATATAACAAGCCCTTGGGTACTATGGAAGCCTCTAGTATTAAAATCCATCACATCAAAATGGAGACTTTGGAACTGTAGTGGGCAGAAGATTCTGTTCTAGGAATGCCAAATATTAACCCATAAATCATTGCTGAGCTTTCAAAAGATCCCAGGCAGAGACAGGATGTTACAACCCCCAACCCCTCAATCCATTCTTCCATTCATCACTTCGCCTACTCTCTTCTAGTATTGACTGTAGCAATCAGAACTTTGGTTTTGCCCCACAGTGTGCAAAGGAGGAAGTGAGCAAAGGATGACTGAGCAGTAGGAGGGGAGGCAAAGCAGATGCATGTAACTTTCTATGGGTAATCTGCAGATTATGTTAGGCAACTATTTCCTGTTAATATTGAGTCCAGGATGGATGCTAGTAGCTGAAATGATTAGCTGTATGGACAGCTAGAGAAACAGACCGTTTTGGCAGTTGTTCTCAGGTTCATATAATAGAATCTAGAAATTGGTTTTGTTTTTTCTCTTAAAGTATTCTAGGTACACTTGATTAGTGTGTTCATATAATTTAACATGACTTCCCAAAATATTCTACTATGCCTGCTTGTAAAAAGGTAAAGGTAAAGGTACCCCTGCCCGTACGGGCCAGTCTTGCCAGACTCTAGGGTTGCACCCATCTCACTCAAGAGGCCAGGGGCCAGCGCTGTCCGGAGACACTTCCGGGTCACGTGGCCAGCGTGACATCGCTGCTCTGGCGAGCCAGAGCCGCACACGGAAACGCCGTTTACCTTCCCGCTGGTAAGCGGTCCCTATTTATCTACTTGCACCCGGGGGTGCTTTCAAACTGCTAGGTTGGCAGGCGCTGGGACCGAACGATGGGAGCGCACCCCGCCGCAGGGATTCAAACCGCCGACCTTTCGATCGGCAAGCCCTAGGCGCTGAGGCTTTTACCCACAGCGCCACCTGCGTCCCTATGCCTGCTTGTAAGAGGTGCATAATAAATTCAACTAGTCTCTCATTCTACTGAATAGCTCAGTCCAGAGCACGAGACTCTTCATCCTGGGGTTGTGGGTTTGAGCCCTATGTTGGGCAAAATAATCCTGCACTGCAGGAGGTTGGACTAGATGACCCTCATAGTTCCTTCCAAATCTACAATTCTATGATTCTATTATTCTCTGCTCACTCCAGAGTCACAAGGATAGAGAGGATGAGAGAACCTATGTTGCTTTGGGTTCAAGAAAAGGCAGACTAAAAATATAATAATCACTAACACTATTTAAGAGTCCACACTAGGCCTCACAATATATGCTACCCTATATAATGGGAATGTGGAACAAATTTGTGTCCCATATTATTCCCATCACCCATTTGATCCCAAGGGGAATACCGAAAGATCACTTAACATAGATTAGCTACGATTTTCCATTAAAAACAACAATATAAGTTATTTTTAAAAATTAGTTAACGCTGTTGTTAAATAAAAAGGTAAACTACTGATTTTAAATCAATTTTATTTATTACTAATATTAAAAATATGGAGAAAGGGAACTAATCTATATTTATATAAAATTCAGTATTTTAAAGTCACAGCTTCAAATTGTGGTGGTTCATAATATAGTCTTACAATGCAATCCTATACATGCCTACTCAGAAGCCCCACAATGTGACTCACTCCCAGGTAAAAGTGTATAGGACTGCATTTGCAGCAAGCAGTGTCAAAACAATGTTTGAATTACTGCTTTTAACAAAGTATACACAAAAAGTATTTTTTTCAGGATAAGCTACATACCAACACAGAGTTAAGCACACCTAAGCCTATTGATTTCAGTGGTCATTAGAAACTTAATGCCGGATGCATATATAAGTAACATGTTACGTGCAGTGAGGTGCATGAATGCATACTCACCTTTATTGCTACTGATGGCCTTTTCACAGTAGCAGTATGAACTGGTTCCTCAAGTTATTTCTCCTGAAAGTGAGTTGACTGTGGTTTCACCAAGCATGGGTGTTCCCCATTCACTGACAGTACACTTTCAAGCTACAAAGCCTGCCACCCACTGCCCAGACAGGTACTCCTTCCAAGGCCCATGCCCCAGCTCTACCTCTGCTGCATTCCAGTCTTCTTTCTTTCAAATGCACCATTTTCAAATGGTTCTCCCCAGACTACATTTTCATCACCCAGTCCTACTCATAATTCTATGGCGACAATTTATGGTCCCTGTCACTGCATATGAATCATGCATGTAAGTGCACACACAAAAACATTCATACAAGGTCATGCACAGAAAAAAACAGCTGTCAGGGGCTCAGGAGCAGAGGCACAGGAAAGGGAGGAAATAGAGAGCGAGGGGGAGGAATCCGAAGGAAATGTTAGCGATGACAGCGGTCCGAGGTCTCTGAGTCTTTCCAGCGAATCGGAAGATTCACAGAAAGGGGCTCCCATGGTCAGAGCAAGGGGGGTGCCTAGGGGGACACCCCAGGAAGAAGGGGCCAGAGGGGACTCAGAGAGCAGCAGTTGGAAATCAGGACCAGCTTCCCCACCAGAGCGCAGTAGGGGGGAGGAGTCCCAGGTATCGGGATCAGGAGGCTCACCGCCAGCGGGAGGAGAGGAGTCAGGATTGGCCACGCCTCCATCGGAGAGCGAGGAAACGGTCAAGAGGAAGGTTGAAGGCTGGGCGCGCGCGCCAAGTTCAAATGTACAGGAGGGCGGCGCAGTTGGCAGCCCGGATAGGGAGCCAGGTCCCAAAGCCCGCCGAAAGGAGGGGGAGGAGTCAGTGGGGTCAGCGTCAGAAGAGTCCAGAAAGGAGGAGACCCCGGGGGGCAGAAGGACCCAGAGGAGAAAGGAGAGATGGAAGAGGTGGAGTAAGGTTAGAGTCTTAAGCTGGTGTACAGGGGGTGGAGACTCAGATGGAGCTTCGCCGGTCTAGCCTCTAAGACGTAGAGCTGGGCGCTGCGGCTTGAAAATGGAAACTGTACTTCAATAAAGACTTTTGTACATTACTACCGGCTAGCGTTGGTCCTCTGTGAGCTGGGACCTGGAGCCAGCTCTGACAACAGCACTTACATTTCAGTGTATAATTGTATATTGCTTAGAATAAGTATCATAAATACACATTGATCACCACTTCTCTTTTAGTGGAGCCTTTATTGTGGCCAAGGTTTTGCTTGTAAGGCCTTCTTGGTGTTTAGGTTGATTGTTTTCATGCTGGCAAAAAGGAATAATGGAGAAGTGATAATGGGAAGATAAAATATACCAGGAAAGCATACATACCAGTCCAGAAAAAAGACATTCCCCACCTGAAGACTGAATGGTGAAGCAAGAACACGTCTTATTTCAGTGACATTCAAAGATTTCATATTAGCCAGATCCAGTGAAATGTTCTCCAAGTATACAGAAGCGTCTTTGGAGTAGATGCATCAAGCTGTTCCAGTATTTCACCTGCTGATGTGGACATCAGACAGCTGATGGAACACAACTTCACTATGAGGGAGCAGACACATGTGCTGCTAAGCTGGATTCATGCCAGGTGTGAAAACAGTGTCAGCTTTTCAAAAATTGTACATGCGATCACTGCCTCCTCTGTGTCTGTACACATCAACAAACTACAATTTGGATTTAAACGAGGAAACAAAGTTTGTCAATCATGCTGCAATTAATTGGTTCATGGCAGATTCAAGAACATAGATAATGTCTACAGGATATCTACTCTTGGAAGAAAGATTCCTCCTCCTAATACATAGAAGCTGATCCGTCTATTCACTAAGTGACAAGTAATTCAACATGGCATCTATGTACTGTCATGGTTTTCACATATTACATGACATGTCAATGATGTCTTTGTAGCTTCTAGGAAGGCAACAGAATGCAAAGAGTTGTTCAAGCAAAATACAGGTTGAACCCAGTCAAATACAAAGCAAATATATTCCACAGTGTTGTCAAATCAATCCTTCAGCGAAACAAGCCAAGAAATCCATGTGCAAAATCAAGTCTTCAAAATGTTCACAGCTTTAAACAGTTTGAAATTTAATGCATAAAAGTTTACACGATAAAACATGTTAGTATTCAAGATATCACAAGACTCTTTGTTGGTTTTGCTGCAGCAGACATGGCTATCCCTCTGGAAACTCTTATATATTTACTATTTTACTGAGCAGGGGCTCCCTTTTATTAACATACATACATCTATATATGTGTATATCTGAAGATACATGGTACACAGATTGAAATGCCAAGCCCAGTTCTATTCCATTGCCCTTAGACTGGACTTCCGTTGGAAGGAAGTTCTTCTAAGTGTTTATAACAAATATATTTACCGTATTTTTCCATGTATAAGACTAGGTTTTTTTTACCCAAAAATTAGGTTTAAAATTGGGGCTCGTCTTATACACAGGTAGTGCTGAAGGGTGTTTTCTTAATTTGGAGTCCCCCAAAATAGGGGGTGTCTTATACACAGAAAAATATGGTATATACATAACTGAGAGCCTTTGCCATGGCAAGAAACAAGTACAAAAGTACATAGCTTTTGCTATCATTCATCATAAAAATCACAACTATTATTTTAATGTAAAATTATAAAAGACTTGTCCACACTAATTTGAAACAATCATTATGCATTAAGAATGGCAGCAAAGAAGTAACTGAATGCAAAACAAAATAGGAAGCTAATTCTTATTAGGATACAGTGGTGCCTCGCAAGACGAAAAGAATCCGTTCCGCGATTCTCTTCGTCTTGCGGTTTTTTCGTCTTGCGAAGCAAGCCCATTAGCAGCTTAGCGGATTAGCGCTATTAGCGGCTTAGCGGATCAGCTGATAAGCGGCTTAGCTGATCAGCTGATAAGCGGCTTAGGGATCAGCTGTTAGCGGCTTAGCGGATCAGCTGATAAGCGGCTTAGCGGCTTGGGAAAAAGGGGGGGGGAACCCTTCAGGAACTCGCAAGACATTTTCGTCTTGCAAAGCAAGCCCATAGGAAATTCATTTTGCGAAGCACCTCCAAAACGGAAAACCCTTTCGTCTAGCGGGTTTTCCGTCTTGCGAGGCATTTGTCTTGCGGGGCACCACTGTACTTTATTTTAGCTAAAAATCTCTGCTTCTATAGACAATTAATTCTGTGACATGCAGAATGGTTACACTGACTAGAAATTATTCCTGAGGTGATTCAGCAAGAAAAAAAATCCAATAAGAAGTTAAGATTCTGTTCCCAGGATTGTCCCAGAGAACATTATGGAGAAAAATGATTCTCACATTATTTCCAATGGTATACGCTTGCACTAGCACTTCAAAAAGCTACTAAATGAACGGAAAATTATGTCAGAAAAAGCCCAGGGAACCTACAATTTGATTTTTTAAGAATAATTTTAGAATAATTGCTTTAAATTGAGTCGTTATCTTCCTCTCTTGCATATTTGTTGTCAGATTTTTAACAAATTAAAAAGAAAATCTTATACCAGCAAAAATGACTATGAGGTACTAACCTAAAGGGATAAGGGACTATGGCACTGTGGCAAGGATGGGACCAAGTGAAAGGGAGAGAACCTGAAAAGGCATCATGCTCCAGTGCAGGATGTTTCCAGGTGGATTGTTAACTTGTGCTGTGTGCGTGTGTGATATATATATATAGTGTGTGTGTGTCTCAGGAAGTGTAAACTTGAGTAAAAGAAGAAGTTAGCTGGAACTGGATTGAGGTCTAGGGTAGTGTTGTGACAAGCAAACTTCCTGAAATGAGAAGATGTGACCAAGTTCAAAAGATCCAAAGTGAATCACTCAAACACATTGCAAAATCTGCTGCAAGAAATGCTTTTGCAACTGCTCAAAATAATCTTGTGCATGAGATTAGCAAAGTCTGCCTGCATATATACAGTACAAATATGAAACTATGCCAAAAACAATTCCTTAAAAAAATACAGTAGTTATCATTTAGAATATATGAAGTAGGTCAAAGCACAGGGAAAGAAGAGGACAAAGTTATAATAAGTTAGCTAAATAAAATTGCCTATTCTTGAAAAACAGGTTCTCATCGGGAAGAGTTTCGGGGAAACATTAGTAAGGACTGTTGATGACAGATAATAAAATATGTGCTTAATGGCATACTGGTAAGAAGAGGAAAAGGGTTTCATAACCTGCAAGAGAGAAGAAAAGAAAAATGTGCAAGAACAAGCTGGATCCTGCTCCATTATGTCTGAAACACATCCTCGTCAGCCTAAACCCTTTGGTCCAGACTGTAAGAACACCATCCTCCCCACTTCCACATTAGGGTGCCAAGCCCATTTTCCTCTGGTTAGTAACCTCTTCCTTTCCTTACTTCACAAACACCTCTTAACTTCCGCTCTCCAATGTGCCCCTCCCCAACCCACAATGATCTTCCCACCAAGCTGCACTCATCCTCCCCCCCCCCCAGTTTGGGTGCGCTCCTAGATCCCCACACCCCCTTTCCGGAATTTTGCTTCCTTCCCAACTCTTCTTTAGAAGCCACCGATCATATCCAGGGCTCGAGATTGCACAGCCTTGGTTTTTTTTGGGGGGGGCATCTTGCGCGCCCCGTTTCCACTCCTCCCTCCCTCTCTCGCACACACCTATCGCCGAGTCCTCCTTCCTCCTCCCGGGATTCCATTTCCTCCGCCCCTTGTTCCACTCCGTTTCTTACGTCACAGTCTCAGGGTTTTCCTTTTCCCTGACGGCACTTTCGCCCGCCGCGCCGATTGGCTGTGAACCGGAGCCAATGGGAAAAGACACCCCCCCCCAGAGAAATATATTCTCTGAGCTGGGTTGGCGAGGCGCGGGCAGGTTCCCGGGTCCCAAGGGAGGGCGGGGGGGGGGTCAGCTCGAGAAGTGGGCGGGGAAAAGAGAGAGAGAGAGAGAGAGAGACACACACACACACACACACACAGAGAGGGGGGAGGGGAAATCTCAAGCACCAGGTGGCTCCGGGCTAATCCCGAAGAGGTCCTCCTGCCGATTTAAAAGGGCAGGCGCAAGAGCGGCTTGCAGGGGGGAAGAGGCAGCGAGTGTTCCCTGAGGCGGGAAAAGGTGAAGTCGCCTTATTTCAGAGCATCCCTCCGCCACACACACACACACACTTCCCAGCCACCCCACAGAGCAACCCTCCTCCTCTTCTCCACGCGCGAACGAGACCGTCGTGCGCCCCGCCCCCCATGCCTCACAGCAGCAGAGTTTCCCCGCGCAACAGTATCCCACGCAGGAAGCAGAAAACGCCGCCTCAGCCAGGGAGTCGCTTCCCCCCCCCCCCGCCCTCCACACACAACAAAAGCCGCCGTCCTCCACAACCCTTCCGGGCGACCCGGGCAGGAAACCTCACAAGGAAACGGAGACCCCACCCACGCGCTGCAAGTCCGCCCTCCGCCTGCTTCCTCCTCCTCCTCCTCCCCGGAGCGGGACGGTGGAGAGTCCCTCGCGCCTCGCCGGCGGTTCCCTCAGCAGGGCGCCCACAGGAAATGGGAGAAGCAGCCGCCGCCGCGCTGGCAACCCTTCCGCGCTTCCCGCAGGAAACGCCGCCGAGCTGCTCACAAAAGAGCGCCGGCTTCGGTACCTCGCGCGCCTGCGGGCCATTTTCGGCCGCGATCCTGAAGCACGTTTGTATTCAGAAAGCAACCGCGCCGGGCTCAGGATAGCGGCAGAGTCGTGACTCTGCAAAGGCTTCGCTTTCTCTGCAGCTTTGAGAAATGGCTCGTGTTTTCCCTCCTCTTCCCGCTTTGCAAAGGAGGAAAGAGGGTGCCCAGGCAGAAACGTTTGTCTAAACTAGCAACGTGGCCAGAAGTGTGATTTAGGAAACACAAAAAAACCTGGCATTGATCAGATCTATGCAGAGTTTAATCTCGCACAATCTTTTCTTCTCTCGAGTAAGTTGCTCTAGAGCACCAGGCCCCAAAAGCAGTGGTGACGGGACTAAACAGAAGATGTTGCTGGACTCCAAGTCCCATCACCAGTCACAAAGCCGAGAGGCACGAATGATGGGAGTTGGAGTCCATCACCGTCTGGAGAACCACAAAGGAAAGGTAATGCAGACCCTCCAAATGTCTCTATTTTCCAGGGATGTTCCTGATTTACAGAAGCTGTCCCGGTTTCTGATATGATCTCAGAAATGTCCTACTTTTCGTTAGGATGTCACTATTTTCATTGGGGGACGCGGGTGGCGCTGTGGGTTAAAGCCTCAGCGCCTAGGACTTGCCGATCGAAACGGCGGTTCGAATCCCTGCGGCGGGGTGCGCTCCCGTTGCTCGGTCCCAGCGTCTGCCAACCTAGCAGTTCAAAAGCACCCCCGGGTGCAAGTAGATAAATAGGGACCGCTTACTAGCGGGAAGGTAAACGGCGTTGCGTGTGCTGCGCTGGCTCGCCAGATGCAGCTTGTCACGCTGGCCACGTGACCCAGAAGTGTCTCCGGACAGCGCTGGCCCCCGGCCTATAGAGTGAGATGGGCGCACAACCCTAGAGTCTGGCAAGACTGGCCTGTACGGGCAGGGGTACCTTTACCTTTATTTTCATTGGAGAAATGTTGGAGGGTATGGTATTATCCTACTGTCAAGCCGTCTGAAGGCAATCCTGTATAGGGAAGGTTTTAAAAAAGTTTTATTATGTTTTTATATATGTTCAAAGCTGCCCAGAGTGGCTGGGGCAACCCAGTATGAGGTATAAATAGTAAAATTATCATTATGGAATGGGACGTCCCTTTTCTCATCAGAGAAATGTTTGAGGGTATGGTAATGTTTCTTGACCCTTTGCATTGAATAAAAGTAGGGGGGAACGAGAAGTCACTGTGAAATTAGATTGCAGTATTCTGCATTAAATTAAGAGACTGCAAAGATTAGGGATACTGTACATATGGAATATTATTGATGGGCAATTGTCTGGTTTATGCTGCACATTAAATATGACTTAATAAAAAATAATCAACTCAGATCTAGACTGAGTCTTTTGTACTTAAAAATGGAAGAACAGGTGGGAGGGTGCAAAATGTAATGTCAGCAGCACCCATGGCAGCTGTTGCTGTTAACTGCAGGTTGTGTGTGAGTGGTACTGTCTACAGCAAGGAAAGAAATATTCAGATAGCTTAGCTGGTTAGACCATGGTGATGATAATGCCAAGGTTTCAGGTTCAATCCCTATATGGGACAGCTGCATAATCCTGCATATATGATCCTCAGGGTCCCTTCCAACTCTACAATTCTATGATTCTATGAACAAAAGAGCCCACTGGATCAGGCCAATGGCCCATCTAGTCCAGCATCCTATCAGATGTCTGTGGAAAATATGCAAGTATTCTAAACTAAATACTATCACAGCATCGATTTGTACAACAGCATTATTATACTGGCAGTTTTATTTTCAGTTTCTTTCCTAATTATCCTTATCATGGAATGTGCCGTTTTCACGAGTGCTGTGCCCTGGGTTACCTAGCACTTCACACTAGTGTTCTGTGGCCTGTTGGGCCTAACACATCTTTTCTCACAACTGAAGCCCAAACAGAGGCATTTGCACTGTTAGTTCAATAGTTATAAAATCCATGTGCATTGAAGGTCACCAAAGCCTGAGCTTAAGGTTCTCTCTGCAGTTCTCCTAAAACAAAAGTATTGGTTGGGAGGTACCTTATTTTGAAACTAAATTGTACCAGATAACTCCTACTATTGATGTCCCTCCACAGTTCTCACATGAGATGGTGTCAGGCACACAAGTAATTATCACTGGCTGCATATAGAATCCTTTATTTCAGAGGCACAATGCAAATGAAGAGCCCACTAAGTGTGAGCAAGGAGCAGAATTTCAAAAACAAGGGACGTAGACATGTAAGTAGTAATGGGCAACCGTCCTTTGACTCAGTTTAGAACTGCACTTGGTAAACAAAGCTATTACAAAAATCAAGAAAGAACTTCTTCCGTTACTTCCAGGTCGCCACGGTGCGCAACCCGAAAGCGCTCAACCTGAAGCATATTTAACCCGAGGTATGACTATAGTTCTAAACATATTTCAGGAATATTAAAGCATTTGCTTTATGTGGCTGTGGATAAGTTGAGAAAAAGGTATGTGAGTAGCTTCCTAGTATTGCAGTTGTCTACCAAAGTTTACAACGCCAGTCATGCCAAACAGAACATTTGAAATGTTTTAGTGCTTAAAAAAAAAATCAAGACGCATTTATGATTATTTTAAAAAAAAATCTAATGTAAAACTTCATTAGTCTTTTCACCTATGTAAGGAAGGGCTGAGGTCCTTGAATGTTGTATAAAAGGGCACATTTAGTTTCGAAAGTGAGCATTCTTATCTATAAGAAAAGGTGATTTATTTAATTACACACCCCTTGACAGAACTACAGCCCTACTTAGTGGGTCAATTTCACCCTCTCTAGTCAGCACTGTCTACAGTGAGGTTTTTGTAGCAACAGTCTTTTAACTCAAGCCAATTCTACAGTAGGAAAAACTTTTCAGCTGCTAATGCAAGCAGGGAATAAGCCTCTGGCTCAGATCCTCCTTTACTGTAGCCTGAGTAGGGTAATATACTGTAATTGGTTTTCCACATTTGCCAAGAGTCTGTTTCCTCTTATCATCCACAATATTTAACACAGGGCTTGTAATAGGTCCAAAAATAATAAAATCAGTCCCAAGAATAGAAGTGATAGATCCATAACATGCTGCTTTTTGTCATGGTCTTGGCTTTGTTAGAGTCTGTTAGTAGTTTTTATTACCAAATGATGTGGTTTCTTTCATGCGCAGCAAACCTAGTAAAGACATTTCATCAGCTACTTACATAGTACCGACATGGATTATTTACAGACTGAGACTTCAGTGGCACAATAAAACAAAATTAGTATGGTATACTATTAACAAAGTTACGATGTAGTTAGAAAAGAAACTCTGCACCTCGACCAGTGAAAAAGGAGCAGTACAAGAACATATGTATATAAGCCTCCTCTTGGGAGAGATCACCAATATGTGGAGTTAATTATATTTGTGTGTATGTAAGAATAGTTATACAATTCTTTTTGCTGCAAAAATGTACTTCCCCTATATTTGTAGTACGGTTTTAATATTTTGTAGTTTTAAAACTGCATAGCTTGTCTCATATTGAGGCAGATAGAAGATAAAGGTATTTTAACAAGTACAGATGACAAAATATGTAACTACAAATGCTTATACTGCAACTCTAAACCTGCTTATGTGGGAGTAAGCCTGACTGAAATTAGTGGAAATTATTGAGTAGACATGCACTAGATTCTGCTGTTATTTAGAAAGAGTACATTATGTTGAAGGGACGTGGGTGGCGCTGTGGGTTAAACCACAGAGCCTAGGACTTGCCGATCAGAAGGCCAGCAGTTCGAATCCCCGCGACGGGGTGAGCTCCCGTTCCTCAGCCCCTGCTCCTGCCAACCTAGCAGTTCGAAAGCACGTCAAAGTACAAGTAGATAAATAGGTACCGCTCTGGCAGGAAGGTAAACGGCGTTTCCGTGCGCTGCTCTGGTTCGCCAGAAGCGGCTTAGTCACACTGGCCACATGACCCGGGAGCTGTACGCCGGCTCCCTCGGCCAGTAAAGCGAGATGAGTGCCGCAACCCCAGAGTCGGTCACGACTGGACCTAATGGTCAGGGGTCCCTTTACCTTTTACATTACATTGAACTCTAAAGTTAGTCTAAAGGCAGGGACTGGGAACTTATCGGCCTCCATGTTGTTGGATTCTAATTCTATCAGCCAGCCAGCATGACAAATGGTCAAGGGTGATGGGAGTTGTAGTCAAACAACAGTGGAAGGCCACAGATTTTCCAACCCTGTCATAAAATGCATACAAACTGTATGTAAATGGAAACTCTGGAATACACTTACACCTAAGAAAAATGTATCTCACTGCTGGGGTCTCTTCCTACAAAGCTTCAGCCATGGAGTTTTCTAGTGGCCATCTGATCTGCTGTACCCACTTCTATGCAAATATAAACTGCTTTTATATTTAAGTTCCATTCAGTAACATGGAGCAGATTGACTTGGTGCTTGTAATCACTATCTTAATGTGGCAATGGCCAACTATGTGTATGGCAGATCTCATAAGTAGTGTCATATCAAAGTTCTTTCATCCAACCATATTTGCAGCACCTACAGTTTCATAATGCTAAAGCAACACCTCTAATATATGTGATGTATTGATTTGACAGGAGAATTAACAATACCTGTTGAGAAACAATAGTTTGAAGTACAAAAGTCTATTAGGTGCTTAGTACCAAATCTGCAATAGGTAGGCTATGAACCAGCTCAAGCAAGGTAGAATATGTACCGTATTTTTCTGTGTATAAGAAAATGTTTCTTCCAAAGTTTTTTCATCAAAAATTTGGAGTCATCTTATACACTGGAGCATTTTGTCTGAATTTGGCATGTTCATTATCCCACACACTTCATTCAATTCAGTCAAAGGGTGGTGGCGAGTTATAGCCATTTTTTAAATTTCCTCATGAGCAAATGGAGGATGCAGAAACGTGTTTTTTTGGTAGCCTCTGAAGTGCATGAAGCTGCTTTCTAAAGCAACAAATCAGGGTCTAAACAGCCTCTTGTGGTTGATGTAAGTGTAAGAGAGGGTTGTAGCTATCCAACACCAGACACTTTTCAATGAAACCAATTATCTGGACACAGGCCTGGTTTTGGCACTGAAACAGACCTGGTCATCCCAATGAATAACCTGTCAGGAGAGGTCCAGGCTTTTAAGTTAGGTTTGCTTACATCAAACTAGCCTTTATTGAACTGCACCAGCTGCTTTTCCCTTCTAGCCACAATTTGTAGTAGAACTAGAAAAACACCAGAATGAGGCCTCTTCCATAGAAGCCTACCCATGTTTTGAAAATTTCTAATGTAGGTCTTCCAAGTACCTTCTTTTCTTTAAGTGTATTATGTAATAAAAAGGGTTTTTTCAACATTGGTGCCTGTTATGGAATATGCTAGTTTAAAAGGTAACCTAGTACCTACACTATTTTTCTTGGCACCAGGTGAAAACATTTCTATTTTTCCAGGCATTTTAATTTGTGCAGTACTGCAACCTACCACATTATGTTTTTAGCTTCTGCTTCATATTATTGTCCATGATGTCATTTTATTTATCGTCTTTTCCCAGGCCTTTGATTAATTAAAAGATCTATGGCTTTTAAAACTGTGTGGGGCTGTTATTGTTTGTCACTATGGTATGCATCTTTAAATTGTAAAACACCCTGTGATCTTCTGATGAGGGGCAGTACAGAAATTTAATAATGATAATATTGCTTATTTTAGTATTAATAATAGAAACAATTCATTATTTACCCTTGTTAACCAGCCCCCAATCTGTTGGATGATGGGTGGTATGCAAATATTTTGAATAAACAGATCATATTTAAGCCACCCTGGGTCCCCTTCTCAGCTGAAAAGAAGAAAATGCTTAAAATAACTAAATGCTAAATTGATTGTGTGCACTGTCCTTGAGACTATACACATGCTTGCAATTAATCTAGAAATGCATTTGTGAGTTCTTGTGCAGGTGTATTATTATGTAAGGAAAAATCACTTGTACAAAATTAGCTTAGAAATGGACCTTAATTACACTTTAAATGTGTAGATTCAAAATTGAAAAAAATTACAAACCTTCACTTTGTTAAATAATGTTTTTGGGGGTGGGGGTGATTTTTAAAATGTACGAAGTAATTCTCAGCAACAGGCACCAAATGGATAAGCTTTGTTTTACCTGTCAACAAATAGTTATTGGCTCCTTGCTAAGTACGGACTGGTCACCATCTCTCTTATTAATCCACCTCATGATTGCTGTGAAGCTCAAGTGCTGCTCTGAACTCAGAGGAATGAATGAGATACAGCTGTAACAAATAACTGGACTCCAAAATGTGTTCTTCAGCTAAAGTATGCCCACCAAGACAACCTAAATATGGAAGAGCAAGAATTGTGTAATTCCATTTGAACATATCTATACATAGTTTACCCTGGAAAACCCAGCAATACAGATTAGGGTCAAGAAAAGATGCTTTCATCTAGTTAAAGAGTGCCATTAATATTCTCTACTTGAAATATATAATTAAACAGGAGTTTATTTTGCAGTGATGTATACTTATTCATTAGAAGCATGGGGGAAATTGGAAAAAAATCATGTGGAGTACAGCACTAAAGCATTTCCAAGTTTGGCCTTAATCAGGATTTTCAATCTGGCAGTTTTATTGTCACACCCCCTTCACAATAGACAAGATGCTTACCATATTAAGATTACAAGTTGTCACCAAAAAAGAAAAAGAACCAAATCAACTTTACACAGCCACTGTACATCTAAGTTGAAAAACTATCCTTGATGGAAATATACCTAGAAATGAAGAGGCAAAATAACGTTTTAAGAAATATGAAGTCTTCATAATGTGCCATTTTATGAGTTTCAATGCTTCCTGTATTTTTCATTCATTATAATATGTTTAACCTACATAATTAAGGCAAACAGCTAATCCATTTCTGAAGAGGTGCTGTGGAAGTTGTGAGCAAATAGCAAACATTTGGCATTAAAATAGGCATATGTAGCTTCTAATACTATACATAAAGCATTTTTTGGACTCTAGGATAATGACAAAAGGACAAACATGCTAACAATGTCAATAAGGTTTAAAATTCAGCATCTAAGCAAATTCCTAATAATGCTTCTGTAGTTCCAAGCTCTAAATGTATAGAATTTATGCAAATGCATTAAAGAATTATAGCTTGGCAAATACACCCAAGCAAGTTATTAAACTATATATACAGAAAGTAAATGATAAATACAGAAAAGAGTCCTTCTGTTTTTCTTTAGAGCCTTGAAAATGGACAAGAGTTGAAGACAGTTCTACAATATTAAACATTAGGAAACCACTGTAGTTGGGCAACCTAACTACACAAACTGATTAAAATACTCAGATGACTTTGTAGTGTTTAATACAGTTCGTAGTCAAGGGCACAAGACAACATTTAACAAAAAATAATCACATCAATTGACTTAGAAATCAAATGGAAATATAGATATGAATACAATCTCCAAAACCTGTCTTTTAAGTGAACATTAACCATTTATTCAAAGTTGTACAAGAATTTGAAGAATAAAGTCTTCTGCAACATGATGCCATCTTACAATAATTTCATGTCGTAGTTGAAATTGAGCGGGGGAGGGTGAAACAAGTTAGTAGGCCCCTTCAGGCAGCTAGGAAGTAAAAATAGGTTCAACAGCAGCCTCCACCAGCCTGTTGTCCTCCCTGATTGCCTGCAAGTGTTGCATTAGTAGCAGCATGCTGAGGGCCGATCTTAATGCCATTTGCCTGAAATAATAAAAGTTGAATGCACATTAATATTTTTGGAACACTGCCACAGGCTACAGCATTTTAAAGTACTTAATCTACTTCTGATTTATGAACATCTAAACTTATTGTCTCCTTTTCATGATAATCAAGCTGTAGGGGGAAAATCCTATTAAAAACAATGTCTGGTAGCAATTAAGGAAACAAAAATCAAGAATAGGATATATTATTTCATTTTTTTCACCATTTCTGTACAACAGAATCCAATAATCTATCCTTGCCAGTACTAATGTATGTAGCATGGGCCAAACCTATACACAGAAGGTTTTCAAACTGTTTCATAACAGTAGAAATTCTTAATATGCCTAATAAACCTTTGGTCCCACCAAAATAAGTAAGTTCAGGTTTCTTCTGGTCTCACACAGCAAACCCTTTTCTTCTCTTGACTGCATTTCCTTCTATGTTGAGTCAGCTGTACAGACTAAGGGCATACAAGTGTTCTGTGTCATCAATAATTTCTATGATCCCCAAAGACATGGCAAGTTGCCAAGAACCACACACAGAGTAGTTCTTTCATTCATCAAACTTACACTTATATCCTAACCCACACTCCCTCAAGTGGATTTTACCTAAAAATACAGCACTTTAAGAAAAGTAATACAGTAGCTTCAGAAATTAAGCTCTTAAGGAAACTTTGCGTCACAGTAAATCTCAGATTTATAGTGCTTGGCAGTTGTTCTGCAACAGTAGTAGCCTTGGGGTTTCTGGCACTAGCTCAGTATTGACAGCAGCTGATGTGGTTTCTTTTCGCTCTTTGACTCCTCTTTAATAAAAAGCATGCCCTATGGCTCATTGGTTTTGCCCCCTCTGGGCTGGTAGCAACTTCTTGAGGAATCAAGGAGCCAGACTTGGCACCGAGCCAAGTAAATAGCATGCACTGTTGGCTCTTGACAGCATACGGCAATCAAATCTCCATAAGGCACAGTAAAGCAGTCAGATTCTATATGAAACTCGACAGATACAACAAGCATTCTTTTTCAGAGCCAATGATTACTGTCCAATATATATGCTATCCACTGCTAACTTCAAACCATATGTTCTTTAGTTATCAGATGAGAATGAGATTGTTCAAATGGTACTAGGGAAAATAAGGAGAGACACATAGTATATAGTGTAACCCTGCCTTCTCATGCTGGTCTTGTGGCTAGTCATACCACTATTTCTGATAATCCTAGACCCTGCCACACTTCATTTACACACATCCAGGGGCCTGCAGCTCTTCAGGCTCTTCAAGGCACAGCAGAAACATGCCCAGCATGAACAGGGGAAGGTTATAATATGTGCTGTTATGGATAAACCCCTCTCATATGCAGAGGAGGCTGGACAGAACTAATACAAAATGAGTAATACAACTTGTGAAGATGCAACGTTTGCTTTAAGAAAGCTTCATTTTCAGAAAGTATTGCATATGCCAAATTTTAAATTTAAATAACACTGAGCAGTTAGATTTATTTGGTTTCTTTATATAAAGATAGCCGTTAGACCTATAAGAAAATAGTTGTCACTGAAGACATGGAGCCTGCACCTGCTGTCCAGCCAAAAAAGCTCCTCTCCACCCCATCACCCTGTTTACCATCTAGCCTGATGAAGAGTTCTGGAGAACTTGAAAACTTGCACACTATTCTGTGATATTTTGGTTGGTCTCAAGAGGTAATTGCCCTAATACGGATTTGGTGACATTGTAACAAAGTGAATTCACTCCATCACTTTTATGAGCCAACTATCCTGTTCAAATAAGTTTTCCCTTGACTTGTGGGCACATGTTAGTTTTCAGACAGTTTCTATTAGATAATAAAAATAATTTCTCAACACACAAGACCACATTCAAATTAAATATTCACTACTGGAGACTGATAATCTTGATCAGAGAAAACCAGTAAGGTGATGTCACTTTGTGAAAAATAAGCACAATTTAAGAAAAGTAAAACTAACTCATATTAGTTTCCCAGTATTTAGTCTTCAGAAGAACTGAGAATAAAGAAGAATGACAACTCTGAAGACAACCCTGCCCCTTTTCTACAGTCTCATAAATGAAGGGAGGAACTGTTGCATGGTCATACTGGAACCTCCAAGATGCTGAGCAGATGAGACCTCTCTAAAAGTAAGTGCATATGACAAGTTTGCCAGAGATGTTTGTAACACGAAGCATTTTACTGAGCAATGTGTTTCAACAGAAAGTAAAAATGGAGGAAGGTCTCATCTGACAGTTAATATCCTCTAGGTCTGAAATATTAGAATTCTATTTCATCACAGCCATTTGCCAAATAAAAGGCAAACAGGAAATAACATAATAAAATGTACTACACCTAATAAGGGCTGTATCCCAATATAGCTTTTAGATATTTCCAAAGATTGGATGTGCCTAATGGGGTTTTACTTTTATTCTTTTAGCAACAGATCCCATGAAAAACCACTAACTACTTTTGAAATCCCTCTCAGTTTCAAAAGTAGTTTGCAATGCAGCACACAGTCTGATTTTCAAGAAACATATGCTCAAAGCTCCCTAGGATGTATGAAATGATGTGTGTGGTTGTTTGGATTCCAGCCACTAGCTTCCCAATTAATGAATCGGTGACCTAGAGATGAAAGACTAGCCCTGACCATCCAGTCTATGACAATCTGTCATTTTCAATTAAGGAAGTATATTATGAGACTTTGAAGAACATACCACAGAGATCTCAGCATGCATCAATATGACACCCATGAACTAAAGAATGTGCAGACATGGATGGTATGTACACCTATTTGAAATATGGTTTTCAAATCTCTCAAAATGAGCAAAACTAGAGATGACAAATTCCACGTATATAGAACCTAGCCATTTAACACCTCAGTCCTATGGCTACTGACTTGGAAACAAATCCCAAGTTCAAGAGGCCTTACTCTGATGTAATTACACATAAGATGGCATGCTAAATCTTGAATATAGTAAAAATTTCATGCAAGTCTCATTTATTCTGTCTCTGACAGTACCCAACTCACATGTGGCAGACAAATTATCCTTTTGACTACTCATTTGTACTGGGAAAATGGTATCTGAAAGTTGCTGATATCATATGGAGAAACAGATACAAATGATGGATACTTATTCTTTGGAAGATTTAAAGTTGAGTCTTGGTTGGAGAGAGGAACTTTATATTTTATACTCCACAATTCTAACTGTATCTACCCAAAAACAGAGTATACAAGGAGCTCAGCATATGTTCAGGTGTGTGTAACGAGCTTGGTGCAAGATGTGAGTATTGTTATTTTGTCTCTTATAGCATTCTAACATTTGAAGAACTTACCTCATTATTAATGTCAAAAACGCCTTCCTGTATTTTCTCATAGATTTCCTTTGCTGTATTAATAAACGCCTGAAAAATAAATAATAAAATTTGAGGCTTTAAACCCAAATTATGGATATGTGCACTTCATAAATATAGCACAATAAAAGCACAGAATTTTTGTCCCAGTAAAGGTAGGGTGTGTGTGAATCTCCCAGTGAAGATGACATGAAGGGCTCTTCAGTGCCTGCTGGAAAGTCTTGCAGGAAGGAGAGGGATTAGGATTGTGTGTATGTATGCAACGAGATTAAGCAGAGCCCCCTCTTTGCACGAAATGGGGATGTTTCATAAAGAGGGGAAAACTTTTTTCCTTTTCCCATTCTCTAGAAAGTGCCCACTCCTTACTATATAGCAACTTAGCAACTTTTTAAGCAAACTACTTGTGAATCTAGCCCATGTTATATTCTAAGTGGCTATGCAGAGTCTCACACGGACAATTTTTTGTACCATTGGCTAGCTGATCCTTTGCAGCATTGTTCATTTATTTCTACTCTCAGCTTCCTGTTACTTAACCAGGTCCTGAGCCACAAAACGATCTCACATTATTCCATGACTGCTAAGTTTACTCAGGGGTCTTTAGTGAAGTTGCTTATATAGCTATAGTCAAAAAATAGGAAGTATATTAACAATATCTACAAGATACATAAGTGCAAGAGTGTTGATCAAAACATCTATTGAGTAACTAAGTTCCTGTTGATCCTTATCATCCTGAACTTTTATCTCACCCCCCTGCTCTCCTTCCTTGCATTTTATCATTAGGCTTCTGAAACTGAATTAGCTTTAATATTGTTTACATAGCAAGTAGTGTTACTATAGATGCATTTTAGCTCAAGGAAGCCAAACATCCCTCCAATTGTTTTCAAAATTTCTCACAAAAATAATGACAACCTTACATATGATGGAGAGGTATCATCTTAAAGTACAAAACATTTCCCGCTCCCAAAAGTCTACAGGAAACATTGACTTTAAATTATTACCATGCCTAACATATTAGCCAATTATTATTTAATGCACAAAATGGCTTTGTTTCCCCATTTAATACTATGAGAACAATTTGAAAGACAATATACTATGTAAGATTTTAATGGCAGTAGCAAAGTTAGCCAATATCGCACATCAAGTTCTTTTGACTCCATACAACCCTACAATGCAGCTATCAACTACTCAAGCTTGCCACGCCTGGCCACAAATCTAATTCAAATATTAAAAAGTAAACAGAGTTCATGGAGGGGAACAAATCATACCTTTCCTCATTTCTACACTGGAAGCATTTGACTGCTGAACTTGCCACCAGAGCTTTGTTTCCTAATTAACAGGACTGATATGTTTTCACCTTTAAAGGCCTTACAGCTCCCTAGAGTAATCAATCTACTGCAGCTCAATTACTGCACCAAGTGCATACCACAGCCAGTGAAGGAGACTTGAACAACTGCAGCCATGAGTGGAAAGATATGAATATGCATAAACTCTAAGTGGGTGATCGAATCATCACAGAGGGTCATGAGAATTTGCAGCAAAATAATGAGAAGAATTAATCATTGCAGATTCACAAGGCACTTAGGAAGTGAGTAGGTTTTTCAAACGTGCAGTGGAGCTCAGAAATTGGCTTTCAGCCAACTCTGAATTGATTTGCATTCTTCAGAAATGGAAGTTTTCAATATAAAAAAAGAAATACATTGTATTTTGGCTTCTGATAAAACACCAATTACTGCAAGGGCATAATATGCCATAGTAATTGAAAACTACTTATAACTTTGGAACTTCATACAACTGTAATCTCTTATGCAATCTGCTTTGTTTTCATAAAACAATTTTTAAAAAATTCAATTCTCAAATATTAGTTCATCTTGACGGCTCACCCTTAAAATACTTTTTTAAAAATTCAGGCATTAAATCCAAATCATGTGCAAACGCAAAGAGGAGTATGGCATTATTTAGACATTTATTAAGAAGTGTACCGATGGCAAATAAAGGTCATGATACAGCAACTAAAATGTCATGATTGAAGTCCCATATATGTGGGAGGCTCCCATGCTCTTTTATGACTGTCTACACAGATAGTGGCTAAACTACATGTCATGGTAAGCCAATATGAAACAAATGCCAACAAGAGGTAGTGGTTTGTAGTTTGCACTTCCCAAACAAGTCACAAATAAAAACCAAGGTTTGTTCTTAGTTTTATAACCTAGATAAAACGCTTGCAATTTCTCCATTTCATGTTATGTAAACGTATAACTGTTAAAATATGCTCATTCTTTCACTCCAACAAAACTCGTGGCTTCTGACAATTATCCATTATAATGGCGAAATAATGCCAATATCCTATGAAGGTGATCATAGGTCAGTGGTAGACTATGAATGTGCCATGCATTCATTAACTCCAACATCTGAAAGCACAACAAGAAAGAAAAGCGGGAGGCATCTAAAGAAACCGGTGTGGCTGTATAAGGAGCTTATAGAGGAACTGAGATGAGGAAAGGGGAATGTATAAGAAATGGAAGGGAAATCACAAAGGAAGAGTATAAACGAGTAGACAACAGTTGCAGGGAGAAGGTCAGGTGGGCCAAAGCTCAGAATGAGTTCCAGCTTGCAAGAGAGGTTACAAATAATACAAAAAGGATTCTTTGGCTAGTGTGTCCAGTTCTGGGTGCCACAATTTAAGAAGGATATTGACCATGTGCAGAGGACGGCAGCCAACATTATCAAGGGTCTGGAAACCAAGCCTTATAAGGAACGGTTGAGTGAGTTGGGTATGTTTAACCTAGGAAAAAGGAGACTGAGAGAAGATATGATAGCCCTCTTAATATCTAAAGGGCTGTCATATGGAAGAGAGAACCAGCTTGTTTTCTCCTGCTCTGGAAGGTAGGACCCAGTAAGAGCTGTTTTGACAGTGGAATGGACTCCCTCGGAAGGTTGTGGGCTCTCCTTCCTCATCGGAGGTTTTTAAGCAGAGGTTGGATGGCCATCTGTCATGGATGCTTTACTTGAGATTCCAGCAATGCCAGGGGTTGGACTAGGTGATCCTCGGGATCCCTTCCAAATCTACAATTCTATGATTCTATCTCTGGTTGAAAAGATATCAGTTGGTAGGACTGAGAAAGCCTAATGACATTGTGTGATTTCAGGCCAAAACCTCACATGTTTCTATCCTCTTTTTTGGTGTCAAGATTCAGCGGTATGCCAATCTGTCTTAGTTTAAATAAATCCATAACCGCATAATCTGACTGAAGATGCAAATTATGGAAATGTTATAGGTTTAACATGGGGACAGGACAAGACACATTTTTAAAGATAGACAATATGTTGGTTGCAGCTTGTCAACAAACTTGCAAAATTTATTGGCATATTAGTATGCACAACAAGAACACCTATAAATAAATGGTTGATTTAATAAAACTCAAAATTTATGAACATGACTTTTGCTACAAAAAGAAAAATACTTTCTCTTTACAGAACATTAAAATAATCAGATTCTGACTTTTCTCTTCATGTAACATGCTGCCACCTGGTGGTTTTCAATATTAATTTATATTTACAATGGTCAATTATTTTCAATATTAAACTAGAAAATTTCTAATAGTATAGTTTTATTTTTTTTCTAATTCACTAAATATTATTATGCATCAGAATTTGAGGATGTGGGTGGAATCCAATGTTATGAAAACAAACTTTTGTTTGTGCAATGGAACTTCCCTTTCTTCTGCTTCCCCTTCATTGCCCCCCAAATCTGCTCTGGTGGATTGGGGGCCTGTCAGAGCACATTTTGGAGGCACGGAGGGGCTGCAGGTAAGAGAGGAAGAATATGTTCTGCTGTGTGAGCAGAAATCCATTCTGTTTATGCACAGTGTTTGACTAAACCCTATGTATTGCCACAAGCCGTCAAAACCACAAACCCTTGGCATGTTCAAGCACTGTTATTAAAATATTTTAGAAATCTTCCCTGACACTAAAATTTAGTGGTTCTCAAACTGCGGGCCAGATTTTCTGGTGCGTGCATCCATGCAGCAGCCATTTTTTGTTGCAGCCAAAGCTACTATTACTAAGCATAATATTGAGGCCACAAATACAGAAGCTCCTTTCCCTCTTTTTCTAGTTGACAGTTTTTTAGGAGGAAGCCCAAAAACAATCTGTTATAGTCCTTTCAACAATGCCAACATTCAATCTGTGACTTGATGTACAGACGTTGAACACACAGCAGTGTGCTACATATAAAATTCTGTATGCTTACTTTGGTTGCTGGTAGATGCATGTCTTGTGTCTGCAAGTTTTAAAAAACTGAGAAACACTTCTTAATTTTTGTATATTAGCTACTAGTTTAAAAGTGCCCTGAATTTGTGACAATTGTACTAGGGTTTCTTTGCACCAATTTGCACTAAACAATAAACCATACTACTTCACTAGTACATGGAGGAAACAAACCATGATAGTTCAAATTTGTTCTTCTCATAAATCAGTTTTCTTGAGCAAAACATAATGCCAAGCCAGAGAGTCTGGTTTGTTTCTCCCCAGTGGAAGAACTATTAACTATAATTTACCATGAAGTATGAACGGTGACTTTAAGGAAGAGCTAATGAATTAGCTTTCTGAGGACTATGGCTCTGAGGAAACCAGATTTACGAACAAGGGAGAAATTACAACAACAGCATATTTTAGCAAGGTACTCTGAAGTGACAGATGATAAGTGGTACAGTGGAACCTCGGTTTTCAAACATTTCGGCTGCCAAACTTTTCAAAAGCCAATTGCCAAAAAGCCAGAAGTGAATGCTTCCATTTTCAAATGTGCCTCAGAAGTCAAGCGGCTTCCAAGGCACGTTTTTCCATTTTTTCCCATTGAATTTGCTGACAGCCCTTTGATCCTCAGTTTTCGAACATTTTGGAAAACCGAGGTTCCACTGTAGTAGGAAAAAACAATAGAGAATGTTGAGGTAATCTAGACAAGATGAACAAGGTAGATAAGCACTTTAGTAAATAATAATGACAACAGCAACAATTTTATTATTGGGCTAATCTCTATCAATAATTTTAGTTGCAGATAGGCTAAGTACTTCTAGTACAGCTAATTCTATGGAAAAGGAAAAGACTAAGGAAAAACTAGAGAGGATTCTGTGAAAACAGAAAGGAAGATGGCTGAAGGAAATAAAAATGATGACTTAAATTGTGAGAGGATGTGATCTGTGGTGGAAAGTACAGTGGACCCTCTGGATACGAATGTAATTCGTTCCAGGGGTCTGTACGTACCCCGAAAAGTCCGCAAGCAGAGGTGCCGCTTCTGCGCAATACAGCTCTTCTGCGCATGGTGAAACCCAGAAGAATACACTTCGGGTTTGCAGTGTTCGCAACCCGAGTTACGTTACCCGAAGGTAATGTAACGCGAGGGTCCACTGCAATACAATAGTTTCAGAAAACAGAAAGGAAAGGAGCAAGAGACCCCAAAACTTGCAGGCCATAGAGTGAGAACTGAAAGGAGAGATGTGGGATGAAGGCAAATGGAGGGGGGAGAGTCATGAGTGCAGAATATAAAGTAAAAAATAGTGAAAACTGGAGTAGGAAGGAAGAAATCACACATGTGGCAGCAGGATCAGGCCAAAGACCCATCTAATTCAGCATCCAACCAAGCACTTATGGGAAGCCCATGAGTAAGACTTGAGCGCAAGAGTGCTAACACAGTGATATGTAGAGGGGAAAGCAAGATAAAATTGCAAAAAACAAACAAACACCTAAGTAAAATGAACAAAATGCACCAGGAAAAAATCCTCACCTATCACATGATCCGAGCACATTACTAAGGGATGATATAAATCTCATGTTCCTTGGCTAACATGAAAGACTTAATACACTGAAGTTGGAGAAAATGTGGAACTATAGAAGAAACATTAATCAAGAAGTTTATGCCTTCCCAAAAAAGTTTTGCACTAAAGCAGGACCAATCTCAGGAGCATAAACCACTTCCACCATTAAGGTCAGATTCAACTTTATTTGTGTCCCAGAGAATTTCCCATTACAGTCGTACCTTGGTTCATGAACACCTTGCAAGTTGAACGTTTTGGCTCCCGAACGCTGCAAACCCGGAAGTGAGTGTTCCGGTTTGCAAATGTTTTTTGGAACCCAAATGACTGATGCAGCTTCTGCAGCTTCCTGCAGCCAATCAGAAGCTGTGCCTTGGTTTCTGAATGTTTTAGAAGTCAAACGAACTTCCGGAACGGATTCCGTTCAACTCCCGAGGTACCACTGTACCTGTTATCCTCCTAACATCACAGGATAATGAATAAAATTGAAGTCTACCACTTGTTAGCAACATGAATTCTGGATGGGCACCCTGGTGGACAATCATATGACTTTTTCAATTTCATATTTAAAGCTCAGAAGGTGTTAAACTGTATAATGAGACAAGAAAATGGAGTTGGATGCAGAATTTGGTGTGAACGTTTAGCAAGCATTTGGGGAAGGCAAAATGGGGCGATGGCTGAGTACAGTCATACCTCAGGTTACAGACGCTTCAGGCTGCGTTGTTTCGGGTTATGTACCCGCCAAAACCAGGAAGTACTGGAACGGGCTACTTCTGGGTTTCGGTAGTCGTGCATGTGCAGAAGCACTAAATCACACTTTGCGCATGTGCAGAAGCACCGAATCGCAACCCGCATGTGCGCAGACACGCCGCTGCGGGTTGCAAACATGCATAGCGCACGGATCATGTTCGCAACCCAAGCGTCCACTGTACACAAAAACTACAGCTAGGTCATTTCTTTCCCAGCTTTACCTGAGCATTTTCACATGAGCTTTGTTGATGCACAGTAGTTCATTTATTTGTAGATTATTGCTGTTCACTGATAAAAGCAGAAGCATCTGCCTCCTGCCTTCATCAGATTAGTTTATACACAAAAAACTTGTTTAATGTAAGAAAAGGTGAAGATAAGAAAACCACATATTCTTTTTATCTAGCGGACCCCAACTTCTACTCAGAAGTAAACTCCACCAAGTAAACTCCACCCACTCTGTGGGTTAAACCACAGAGCCCAGGGCTTGCTGATCAGAAGGTCGGCAGATCGAATCCCTGTGACGGGGTGAGCTCCCGTTGCTCGGTCCCTGCTCCTGCCAACCTAGCAGTTCGAAAGCACATCAAAGTGCAAGTAGATAAATAGGTACTGCTGTGGCGGGAAGGTAAATGGTGTTTCCATGCACTGCTCTGGTTTGCCAGAAAGCAGCTTAGTCATGCTGGCCACATGACCCGGAAGCTGTAAGCCAGCTCCCTTGGCCAGTAAAGCGAGATGAGCGCCACAACCCCAGAGTTGTCCACGACTGGACCTAACCGTCAGGGGTCCTTTTACCTTTTACTCCTAGAGAGGAAGGTGCACTGGACTGCAATTATTAAAGCTATGTGGAACTGAGGAATAAGGTGGAGAGATGGGGGTCAATTAACTCAGCTTTCAAGTGACTGAGTTAAACTTTATATGGTCCCAATTGAGGGACAAAAAGTTCAACTCTGTCTCTCTGAAAGCCACTGGGCTAATCTTCTTGCCCAACATGGGGTTCCATGCCTCAAGGTTTCTGTAAGAAACTTACAGTCTGCCCTGGACTTGCAACAATTACATGGGTACATTACTCAGTTTTAGAGGGGGGGGGGAATAAGCTTCAGAAAAATTGAATGTTTAAATACAATTATATTTGGGCATCTAAGTAAGGTAAAATTATGAAAATTGTGAATGTGACCAGTGAAAGCTGTTCAGTGGCTAGAGTCTGGTTCTGCACATCCATTTGTAACTGACACTCCTGATTTAGTATCTTTCTTCTGAAAGTAACTTCCGGTGTGAGACATGACTGCCATCATTATCTCCAAGATTCCCTGCTCCCCACCCCCCAGCCTCATTTATTATTCAAGCACCAGCATTTCTTCTATGACCTCTGGGAAAGTGATCTAAAGGACCATCTCAAGTATATTTTAAAAGCATGTGTACTGAGAATGGAAAATAATTCTTTCCAATTTTCCAAATCACTTTTATTTTTCTTGATAAATTTGTCAATTATTTTTCTCCCCTGTCCAAACACCCTTTGATAATTATATTATTATATTCTAGCTGTGTGTCGATCACACATAAGTGGGAGGACACCTGTATTTTATATTCAATTAACAAAATATTATTTGGTGATGTGCATTCTTTTTCCAAAACCTAGAATGATGAAAATAACTAGCAGAAGAGAAGATGGAGAGAGAGAAAACTTACTCCTTGGCATTTATTAATGACTCATACCAGATCAGGATCCTGAAGATTTGATTGGATCCAGAGACATTATTTTGATCTCAAAGCTGTGTCTCTAACTTCCCACCTAAATCATACTCAGAGATTAATCATGTAATATAAAATAAATTACACCAAATTACCTCTTCTACGTTGGAAGCAGTTTTGGCAGACGTCTCCATAAAGATAAGCCCATGCTCCCGTGCAAATGCTTCACCTTCTTCCTTTTTCACTTCTCTTCTAGACTCTAGATCACTAAGAAAACAAGACATCAGTTGTTCCCTGTACAAGCACAAGCTAACTCACCTAGGCACATATCTTTACTTAAAATTAAGTCCATTTGTCTAGGTATACCACATACCTATATTTGATGAAGTCCAATATAGAACCTTAATCACCTTCTAAGTGACTAAAAAGAAATTTATTCACTATTACTTATTAAAAACCAATGCTGAGGAGAGAAAAATGGGAAGAAGGATGGCAGAGAAGACATGCAGTCACTCCAAAAGCATCACGACAAAGAACTATCAATGTTGATTTCTAACAAGAGAGGCATCTCCTCAAAAATACACTGCCAGCATAATATGGAAAAATGACTCCCGGCAGCTTTCAGACAGGATCCCAGCTGCCATTTTCATGAACCTCATTAGCCAGATTGTGGGAAACAGGACATTCCTGTCTACATTTCTCAGCTTATGCATCCTTATGCTACTTTGTGATATAGGTTTCTAACAGCAGCTTCTATCTAAGTTCATAACCAGAAAATATAAATTTTGAATGGATATTAATACAGTAACATTTCATTTACATACAAATGCCTGCTGGTCACTCTTACCCAGTCCTTCCTCCAAAATTTCCAAAATCTCTTTTCATAAGTTACCGTATTTTTCGCACCATAGGACGCACCTTGTTTTAGAGGGGGGAGAACAAGGGGAAAAAATTCTTCCGCTCTCTGCCCAGCGCCCCTTCAGTGAAGCGGCAGGAGGCGCTGCGCAGAGAGTGGGAGAATTTCCCCCCTCTTGTTTTCCCGCTCTAAAACAAGGTGCCGTTTAGGGTGCGTTCAGGCGGCTACCTTGGAAGCCTGGAGAGCGAGAGGGGTCGGTGCGCACCGACCCCTCTCGCTCTCCAGGCTTCAGGTTCCTTCCCCCCGCCAGCCCCAAAGAGCAGGTCAGGGAGCAGCGGAAAGGCGCAGCAGAGAGGCTCCTGCCATAGGCGCGCATCACCTCTCCCCGCGCGCGCTCTCCTGGCTGGAGAGGTGACGCGCCCCTATGGAGGCTCCTGCCATAGGCGCGCGTCACCTCTCCAGCCGGGAGAGGGTCGCGGGGGGCTTCTTTAGCCCCGCGCGCACTCTCCTGGCTGGAGAGGTGACGCGCGCCTATGGAGGCTCCTGCCATAGGCGCGCGTCACCTCTCCAGTCGGGAGAGGGTCGCGGGGGGCTGCTTTAGCCCTGCACGCACTCTCCCGGCTGGAGAGGTGACACGTGGCTATAGAGGCTCCTGCCATAGCCCCGCATTACCTCTCCAGCCGGGAGAGGGTCGCAGGGCTATGGCATCTTCGCTCCATAGGACGCACACACATTTCCCCTTCATTTTTGAAGGGGAAAAAGTGTGTCCTATAGAGCGAAAAATACGGTATATGGGACATGTATTATTAGCATCCCAAGATCAGTTCTGAATTACTGCAAGTTCCTATGTGGCTACATTGATGTTTGTCAAAACCTCACCCCAGACAGTTGGTCTTGGGGACCACTCTTTGTAGGTGGTGTTTAGAGCAAGCAGCCCCTCTCTTCTTGCAGGCCTTGACACTGTTGGAACCTAACACAAGATGCAATGTTTCTTCACTCAACACTTATTTAAGTTATGGAATTAGCCAATGTAAGATGTAGTGCTGGCGACTAGCCTAAATGGTTTTTCTCGGTTTAGAATCAGGGGGCAACCTCCCCTATGAGGAATGGTTACAACAGACACGTTAATGATTATCCGTATTTTAAAGCTATGAGACACACTTAGCTAGGAATAAGTTCCTTTGAATTCAGTGAGTAGGATTGTGGGAGGGGAGTTGTTGGTTTTATTCTTTTTATTGTTTTTATTATGTATTTTGGGTTCTCATTTTGTATTTTTATGTTGTGAACTGCCCTGTGATCTTTGGATGAAGGGTAGTAGACAACTACTACTACTACTAATAATAATAATAATAATGGCAGCCCAATAACAGTTCTGAGCAACAGGAAGTTCCTATGTAACTACAGTGATGCAGGTAAAAACTTCACCACACAAATTGGTCTATTATGTAGAAGTGGAGTGAGTCTGCACATCGGATGTGGACTTCCAGGCCCCTCTATCAAGCTACACCTCTCACTGGTGCTACACCTGCACTACTGTGTAGAACAGAATAAGTAATCCCTAGAGCCATTGCATATCAATTAATAAATAATAGTACCTTTTAAAAAGTGGCCCTTCAGGCCTCTCTATCAGGCCTTGGTACTTGCCCCAGGCCACACTTCTCTCTGGCTATTTGCCTCGGGTGCTTGTGCCTTGTCACTGAACTGCGTGCAGAAACTCTGGCTTTTGCATGACTATGGTGTAGCCTACTGTACAAATATAAAAGTCAAACCAGTTGCTCTGCCTACATTTGCCCCACCCACTACTGGCATCTGGCTTATGCAAGGCCACCCATAAGGGAGTACAGGCCTTGGGCTTAAAAAGATTCCTCAGTCTTGGTATAGAAAGCCATCTAGCAGCACCTAGTAAGCTCTTTTTATGGGGGGGGGGACTACACTGCTTGCAAAATGCAAGAAATACAACTATGATCACCACCAATGAAATTTTATCTTCATTTTAGATAGTTTTCTTCTCCTTGAACTTGGGAAATCTGCTTTCTCCAATACATTGTTGCCAACATAAGAGTTATTGGTAGCATAATGACAATCTTTAAATCATTCGGTCCAAACTATGTGTGAACTACTAGTGCTAGACAGAATCTGAAAAAGCTCAGCATGTTAATAATACAGCATTGATTGAACAACTGAATATTGTACTTCTGTGAGTACAACACATTTTTTCCAGACAACAAAGATTATCTGTTCATCAATGATGATAATACTATGAAGTAGGACATTAAAAAAACATCCAGAGGATTATATTAAGAATTGCAGTAAAGCCGATCAAAGATATTCAACAAGCCTCCAACTGGAGTTAAGAGTTCCACTGTGGTAATCTTGAGATCAACTGCAAAGGAGTCTAGATTGAAAAAGAACTAGCACATTGTAGGACAGCTCAGACATGAAGCTAGCTAAATGTTAAAGGGACTATAAACATTTCAGTCTTTTAATCCAAGAATAGCTAATGTGATGCCCTATAGATGTTGTGGATTACAACTTCCACCATCCTGAGCATAGGCCATGCTGGCTGAGGCTGATGTATACCAAAACATCTAGAAACACTGTGTTGGGTACCCCTTTTTAATTGGCATTCAAATCTAGAATTGGATATATTACTAAAAAAAAATAATTCAAAAATGTCAGGGGTTTTTTTTTTTTTTTTGGCAACTCAGCTGACTCAAACCAGGATCATCAAATGTTAAAATTATTTTTTTAAAAAAATAAAGGTCATGTACTCAATATGCTACTTGTTATGGAGCAGGTTTTTAATTAACTGTTAATCCACACCATTTCAAAAGGCTTTTAAATATATATATATACCTTTTATTTCCAATGAGCATAATGACCATGTTAGAATTGGAATGCTGACGGGCATCTTCTAACCATGTTGTCAAATGGTTGAAAGTGTCCCTCCTAAAATGAGACCAAAACGCAAGTGAGGAACAACGCACAAACAAATAATGAACAAAGCAAAAGTTTAAAAATATATATAAACAGAAAATTTAATGACTTTACCAGTTGTTAACCTAGGACTTATACACAGGACAACTGATGTGCAGTGGAAGTCACTTTAGTTCCCTTCTGCTTCCACCACTAGTTGAAAACTAGTTTTAGACACTGAAATCTGTTAATGATTAAAAGAAACATACAGAAAAAAGCTAGTTACAAAAGTCTAAAGGATTCTGAAAGATTCTCACCTTGTAATGTCATACACTAGTAAGGCCCCTGCTGCCCCTCTGTAGTATGACCTTGTGATAGAACGGAAGGACTCCTGCCCAGCCTGTAGAAATACAAGATTCATAGTTCATTTTGTCTCCTGTGTTTCCTTGTGAAGAAAGTAAGAGTCTTGCATACTTACACTAAGAAGTTTATTGTGTAAGGGATTGGGGGAAAGGACAAAACCTCACTAATTCTGGAAAAGAGGAGCCACGAATTAAAAAGTCTACAGCACAGAACCATTGGGGAGGGGACTCAAGAACAAGACCTCTAAACCTTTTTTGGCAATCCCTGACAACCCAATTTACTGAATGGCTTCACAATACATGAATCATTATTAGAGTACAGAATGGACTCCTAGCAACTAAGCTCTGAAGACAAATTTGAAAGGAAGCAAATAACCCAGTGCTTCACATTTGAATTCAATAACTCCCTCCCTGGGGCAGCTGTTGACACTAGAATAAATAAAGCCCATTGTAAATAAATGATGAATGACATCTTTACGCCCACCATCTGCTGGTGTAAAGGTTGTAGGAAGGCCAAGGATGCAGATTTTATCCGTTATATCATAAACTGCAGCCAGCTTTCAACAATCTTCAAATGGAATTCTTTCCACTAGCATTTTATTATAAAAAACAGATAATGGTTTTGAATTTGATTTTATATAATTCTATTATACATTTAATCAATTTCCTGTGCTTCTGACAAAGTGCTTGTCAAAAGCATGCAAGAAGGTGCCTTGATTGCCACAAATGAAAAACATCAGATATCATATAAAAATGATTTTTAAAAAGAATTCTAATAGAACATCCTAAGTTTAAAATTTTATGTTAGATTTTCAAAAGGGATTGGTCATAGAGCTACACTGATGTCATCCTATAACCCTCCTTTCTGCTTCAAAACATATGTATGGGTCATATATTTAACCTTTTTAAAAAAGCCTTGACCTGGTCACTATGAACTGGACATAGTAATCCCAAACACTGAATAGCTATATTCTATCACTAAATTATTTAGTTATTAACAGCCATAGAAAAGAAAAGTTCACCCTGCCACAGATGTTAGGCAAAAGCTAATGCTTGCAATACTTGTAAGATTTCACCTCCCACTTTTTCTCCAGGAACTACAATGTTTACCCATTAACACTAAGGTGATTAGTACTTAAAGTACATATATTCAACCAAGTTGTTACACTAGTGGAAGTCAGAAGGACCTCCTCCTCCTTCTACCTCCTCCCCAAACTAGGAGAACTCCAAGAACAGCATATGGGAGAGAAGGGGGGAAGATTTTACGACCAGTGCAAGCATTTTTGCTTGCCAGGCAGAACAATCGCCTTCACATGGTGTTGCATTCCACCCATAGTCTTTTGTGATGGCAAAAAAGGAAATGAAACTTATCTCACATAAAGATAACTATGTCTTTAAATTTGCCAGCATAAATGAAAAATATTTATAAACTGTTAACAGCATCTATGAAGAATTTGTGTTAAAAAAATTAAAGATAAAGTATTAAAAACTATTCACTATGTAGCAGATGTAGCATAATTCCATACAATGTTTAGGGAGTTTATTTCTAGAGTATTCAAGACTTTGAAAGCACCAAGAGTTTCACCAGATCTTCACCAAGTGTGACCTAGCAGCTGACCACATCCAGGCAGTCAGCAAAAACCTGAGATTTATGGAGCCCCTGTATTAAGCCTATATGCATGCCGAATAAACATAGAGGTAAAACTGCCAACCTATATAACTTTTGAAGCAGCATCTCATTCAAGATCAATGGATGACCTGTGTGGGATTCTTTAAGATCATGTTTGCCTTAGATACCTGGGACAGGCATATACATAAAAGAAGCAGGTGTATACACATACACACCATTTCTCTCTCTTAAGCCTCCTCTGCTGACCATCAGTTCCATGTTGGGGGCGGGAAGGCAAGCCCAAGGGCTTAGTTACAAAACTATTTCATTCTCTTGACATTGATAACATGACATGACAGGAAGATGGCTATGTTTCTCTCAAACGTTTATTTATCTATTTTAAGAGGATTCTTGTTTCATATGGAGAAAACTTTCAATCATGTAAGCTCCCTCTGCAGTTGTAGTGATAAAGTCAAGAATCAGGTTCATTGTGCCCTATCCTACTTGCAAGAACTATGCCCTAGTATAGCATTGTAAGAGAGACTGCATGATCAGAACCCAGAAGTCCCTTTTAGGCAGCAAAGGTAATTCCCAGAAGCCAGTGGCTGGACCAGTTAAGAACACACATTACTGAAGGCACATGAGGGCTATGAGTAGCTTCAGACCATCCCAAATATGTAAGAAGACTGTTTTACTTATGCTTTTGGTGTAAAGTCCAAAGCACTGAGTTTCTCATCTTCCCTGCTGAGGTGGATGAGGGAATGAAGGAATGCACACATTTCAGAAACAGCAGGTAAGCAGCTTAGAGGTAGTTCTGGATACATCCCTCCCATTAGAGCCCCAAGTGACCTTTGCGGATAGCAGTGCTTCTTACCAGTTTCCTCTGATATGCCTGGTACAGGTGTTTGAATCAGGAAAGCCTGGCCGCTGCAATCCATGAGAATGGGTAACCTCGGGACTGGACTACAGCACTGTGCTTTATGTTTGGCTGCTCACTACCTTGGTCTAAAAGTTCCAGCTTGTGCAGAATTGTGTTCCCAGATTGCTGATGGGAGCAGATGACTGATAGCACATGGCACCTCTGCTATAACATCAGCACTGGCTGCCCATATACTACGGGGCTGAGAGATGTGCAGGCTTGGGAAAAATGGGGAGGAGGAACCCAGAAAAGCTGGGAGGAAAGCCCTAAATGACTTAGATCCAGAATACCTCAAGGATCGCTTGAGTCCTTATATCCCACTTCAACCATCCTGAGGAGCACTGTTAGTTGTCCTGCATACTTCACTACTGGCTTCTAACAGAAATTGGGCATTTGGTGTTGCCAGTTCCATGCTATGGAATACCCTTCCAGCACAGATTCTGCAGGCAACCTCACTACTAATTTTTAGGAATCTCTTGAAGATCTTTTTATGCCAACAGATTTATTTATTTATTTTTATGACATTTTGTATTTTATGTTCTATAGTATGTGTATACATTGTTGTACACTTCTGTGATATTTTATGTACATAGGTGGTATAACTATTTTTATAAATAAATTTAGACTACAGCTGAGAGCAGAAGGTTAGGATGTCTGCTAACTGGATCCCTGAACAAGAACACTCCTGCAGGGTGGCGATGCACCTAAACATTTTGGTACATGTTCCACTTGTATAGTTCCTATGAAACCAATACACACTAAACTTTTGCCTTTATATTTCTTTATTATAAAGGCACAATACTCTCAATAAATGAGCACATTCCAGCTTAAGAAACATCTCATAATATTACTAAGATACCACAGTGTAGCAAGAATTCAAAATTTGGTACTTCAAAAAACTGGTGAGTGAACGACAAGCCTGTTTTACAGTTGAATAAATGAGGCAATACAATTAAATGACATTTAGGCTGCATTCCACACCGTAGCTACTAACTTGTACCCTCTCCCCTACACAAACCAGTGACCTAATGAATAACTACGCCTGAAATTAGGGACGCGGGTGGCGCTGTGGTCTAAACCACTTAGCCTAGGTCTTGCCGATCAGAAGGTCAGCAGTTTGAATCCCCGCAACGGGATGAGCTCCCTTTGCTCAGTCCCAGCTCCTGCCAACCTAGCAGTTAGAAAGCACGTCAGAGTGCAAGTAGATAAATAGGTACTGCTCCGGTGGGAAGGTAAATGGAGTTTCCATGCACTGCTCTGGTTTCGCCAGAAGCAGCTTAGTCATGCTGGCCACATGACCTGGAAAAACTGTCTGTGGACAAACGGCGTCTCCCTCGGCCAGTAAAGCGAGATGAGCGCCACAACCACAGTCATTCGCGACTGGACTTAGTTGTCAGGGGTCCTTTACCTTTACCCCTGAAATTATATCAAGCTGATTCATACATAAGCTTACTGGGTTTAGAGCTTGAAGTGTATCGAAAAGAAGAAAAATTGAAGCTCTCCTCACTGGTCCTTTATCCCAGAATACGTAAACAATAGTTAAGATTGCTTTTTCACAGGCAGGTTAGCAGAAATCTTCTAAATAACTCAAGGGAGTTAGAACAAACCCTATATCCATATACAGAGAGATTGTTGATCCAGGATAAACAGGAATCAATAATGCTTGCAGCAGCTAGTATTATTTCGGATCATGGAACACGAACACACACACACACACACACACACACACACGGTCTTGTGTTTGCCTTCTTGGGAGATAGTTCACACCATTTTTTCAGTTTACACCATTTTTGAGTGTTTGTTTTTGTTTTTGTTTTACAACAGTTGACTGGTGCTTTTTTCAGAGTTTCAGTTCCTCGCTCCTGTTCTTTGAACCACAGTTTAAATAAAATTTGCACAGAAAATTTTCCTACACTTACCGTATCCCATATCTGAAGTTTTATCTGTTTCCCATCAATGGTTATCATTCGAGCACCAAATTCTACACCTGAATAATAAAATAAAATGTTGTAACAGAGCTCCAACGCAGCAATGAAATGCTATCCAGTATCCTAAATGAAATCAGGATTTACTTCAACCTTTTTCATAGTAGGAAGCAACATTGTTCTTCATGCTTTCAGTTGGCTTTCCCCCCCATGCCACATACTGAAGAGTTAACAGACTTTTATACAGTTTTGTATTGTGTCATAGTTTTATACACTCATTTCTAGATTAACAGATGCAAAAAAAAAAAAAAAGTATTTCAACAGAGGTAGAAAAAAATAAGAACACTAGCATAGCCAGTGTGGTGCAATAGTTAGAATTTTGAACTAGAACCTGAGGGACCAGGGTTCAAATCCCCACTCAGCCATGAAGATTACTGGGTGACCTCAGGCCAGTTACAGTCTCACAGCCTAACCTGACTTACAAGGATTCTGTGAAGATATAAGGGGGAGGGGCAGAGAACCATGTATGCCACCTTGAGTTCTCCAGAGAAAAGGTGGGATATAAACTGCAATAACAGTAAAGGAAGAAAATGCTTTTTAAAATTATGACACTGCAATGTGGTTTGAAAATATTCAGAGGCAGTCACAGCAGCTGCAGAATGTGAGAAAGTTTCAAATCTCACTGAGTCAGACTCAAATTAAACTACTTAAATCCCTTCAAAGAAACCATCATTTAGGCTTAGAAGAGGGTTACAACTTAGATTTAACAAAATCTTAAAATGATATTTCATATTCAGATAAGAATATTTTAGAAATCGACAATTATGATAACACTGTTAAGCTGAAACCATTCTGTATGGAAAACACTCTTTACAAATTCAGCCACAGTAACTTTTAACAGTGGATAGTTGGATGTAATTTTGTCCAATAGGAACCTAATTTATTTATTATCAGACTAAGCACCACTGACCCATGCCACTATAACCTTGCAAATATATGACTATTAGTTGAAAGTCTAGACCAGGGGTAGTCAACCTTTTTATACCTACCATCCACTAATGCATCTTTCCTGATGGTAAAATTTCCTTACCGCCCACCAGAGCTCGATGGAAGGAGGATTCAGCTTGTGCCATAGAAACCCTTACCGCCCACCTGGAATCCTGAAACACCCACTAGAGGGTGGAAGGGACCAGGTTGACAACCCCTGCTCTAGTCTAGACATTCCATTTCAGAACTTGATGCATGCAGTTGCCATGACCTTTACTCATTTACCTGCATAAAAGAACTTACCTATAGTAAGGTCGTGCACTGGCTGAAACCTTTTGTCTGTGAACTGCAACAATAAACATGATTTTCCAACACCTGGAAGGAAAAAAAATCAATTTCAAGAATTTCCAAATATAAAGTACTACAAAGAGTGAGAATATTTCAAAATTTCAGACTTCTTTACACACCTTTACAAATTACTGATAAAACTACTCCTTGGTGTTAGCATAACAGTTCAGAGCCCACCAAAAGAAACACAAAGGATAACAGTGAGGTCCCTTGGAACTTGTAATGCTCCTCCGTAGCAACCAAATTACTAAATCCCACTCCTCCTCCAAAATCATATTCATTACGTACATGTACTATTCGGAAACTTAAGACTCTCACTTAGTAGCTAGTTTCAGATAGCCTCTATAGTTACTCTGCTGCTCTTTTAAAATATACATACTTTGTTAATGTGACTATGCAATTACAATATATATATGTAATGTGTATAAACATTTTAAACCTCTTAGAAAACCCAACTCTATTTTCATAAAACACTTTTCTATTCTGTTAAATCAAGCACTGTATACTTGAAAAGGAAATAACCATTATTTAAAAGTACTTCAATATTGCTTAAATGTTACATTTGTTTTTTATTGTTTTTGCTCCACTTCCCTCTATCCCGAGTCCTCTTTTTTTTATTGCACGACTATACTTCAACTCAGGGACACGGGTGGCGCTGTGGGTTAAACCACAGAGCCTAAGGCTTGCCAATCAGAAGATCGGCGGTTCGAATCCCCATGACGGGGTGAGCTCTCCCATTGCTTGGTCCCTGCTCCTGCCAACCTAGCAGTTCGAAAGCACATCAAAGTGCAAGTAGATAAATGGGTACCACTCTGGTGGGAAGGTAAACGGTGTTTCTGTGTGCTGCTCTGGTTTGCCAGAAGCGGCTTAGTCATGCTGGCCACATGACCTGGAAGCTGTACGCCAGCTCCCTCGGCCAATAAAACGAGAGGGGCACCGCAACCCCAGAGTCGTCTGCGACTGGACCTAATGGTCAGGGGTCCCTTTACCTTTATACTTCAACTCTCCAATTTTCCTTCAATGTTTCCTTAGCATTATATTCAGCTTAACAATCGCCACTGGCCCCCCAAATATTCCCATCTGTTATACTGTACAGATGAACTTTGACTTGCTTATTCCTATAATTTGAATGACATTATTATTCTATTATATATTCTTTACTATTAGCCTACATGTTGTGTTTGTATTGTTGTGATTGGTTCTTATTGCAACACAGGGGTTTGATTTTGGTTCCCCAAATATTTCTGACAGATTCTTTCTTTCCTAGTTTTGGACTATCCTTCTACACTTGTGCATACATAACCCTGGTTACTATTAAAATGCTCAACATTTGGATACACTCACTCTTTGGTGTTCTTGAATCATTGATGTAATTCAACAAACATAATAGTGGACTCTTTGCAAAGCCTAATGACAAATTATGTCATTTTATAACCAATATCATTTCCATCATATGTATGAAATCATTCTGCTTTTCCAAGGGATCCAAAGCCATTGCACCACGCTTTTCCTGCAATTTTCTCTAAAATTCATGGCTGACATGAATTTGGTTCCTACTCCAAATAGGCATTTCCATACTTTCTCCTAAATTTCTGTTTGCAATTCTCTTTCCCATTTCATCATATGATTAAGTTTTGTCTCTGAATGTTTATGCATTAACTAACTTGACATAAAGTTGAAAACCATTTAACTGTGCCATTCCCTGTTAACCTTTCAAATTGTTTTAAGGTTCTCGCTTCCTGTATTTGTCTCAGTCCACTTAGAATACTTTTTATTTGTATGTATTTAAAGGTGGTGCTATCATTTGTTCCTTCATCTGTTCCCAAGTTCTTATTTTCTCTAATTTTTTTAGTTATATAGGTGACCTTAAAATTTGGCATGAAAGAATCATAAGTGGACCACTCATCTTCTATTATGTGTAATATTAGTGAAGTACAAGGTGCACTCTTTCATCATTCACTGCACCACCCGTGTCAAAATACCTGCTTCATATTACTATTCTAAATAAGAGATTACAAATCCTCTCTTCTTACAGGCTTTTCTTCCTTATATTTTATTTATTCTCAATTTCTTTCTAGCCAGAAAAACTTAAGAAACAATTTCTTGCCACTCTTGATAGTTTTAAATGTAAGTTAAACAGGTATTTTACATCAGAATATGATGCAAGGTAGGACACTTGTTTTCACAAGACTTTTGTGGTTTTACCTCTTGCAACATTTTATTATTATTATATATGGCCTTCATCCAACGATCTCAGGGTGGTTCACAAGATAAATAGCACATAGCTCAGGTGTTGCTGAGAGAACTTCAAACCAGGACTGTGATTCAAATAGCCCTCAGTAGAAGTGAAAGAACTGCTTTCTCAGTCCAAGACAGGTAAACGTAAGCAATGACAAATCTAAGAAACTATGATATGTAGGAATCATGAATGCCCAAGCTCTAGCGTAGAAACTATGCTAGCAATGGACCAAACAGCTATAACTTTTTGTCAGGAACAGACAGTTTGTGCATAACAACCAAATTTCCAGCTAAAAATGTATTTAATTCCTGCAAGGACCTACCACATGCCACTTTCACAAGGAAACTTTTGGGCTTCATATATTTGTACATGAAAGGGCTGGTTTGCATACGCATGTGAATCATCTGTCAACAATAACATAAAATGGCAACTTGCATGAGTTACACCTCAAAGATAAAAAAACAACAACCCCAGAGGTAGAAGTTTCCTATCAAGAATTCAGACATTCTCTGTTTTAAGATCAAGTGCTATGAAGCCGATATGCATGCACAGCCCAATCCTATGTTATACAGTAATAGATAATAAATATGGTTTTATACATAAGCCTTAAATAAGAATTCCATGACCTACATATAACCAGCTTCTTTATACAATTCATCCAAAAGCCACTGAAACATGTTACCTGCTTCAATGGATCTCCTGCAATGTAGGCTAGTAAACACTCCAAGTTATTAAAGGAGAGGGGAGAGTTGACTTTGGTGCAGTTTGGAATTGTACTTGAGGCATGGTTAAATCTGGAATTTTCCAGCTTGATGGAAGAGGAGGGTACCAGAGACATGACAGACCCTCTTAAAATTCCTCCAAGGAGCACTGCTGTGAGAAAATTGACTTGAGCAGCAGTCAATCTATTCCCAGAACTGAGGCAGGGTGTGACTTCTCAAAGGGAGATGCATGTGGTAATTATCACAGCTCTTTGCTCTTGGAAGACTGGTAGGATATCTCCATTGAGGATGATTATGTTGATCTTCTGAATCTGAGTAAAATTGTAGGCTAGTTAAGGATTGAATAACAATTTGTTTACACACAATCTCTGAAGTCATTTCTATATCCTATTCTGCAGCTCCACTTTGCACCACCCATTTTGACATTCACCCCCCATGTCCATGGTAACTTCCTGCATGTTCTGCCTCCCACACGTTGCAAATACTAACCACCCTTTGCCCCTTTTGTTCAGTTACAAAGTTATCACACTCTCCTATTATTCAGACTCTTTCATGCCCCTGCTTTCATCTTCAACCCTATTCCCATGCCTCCTACTCCCTCCTTTGTTGTAACTCCCCTTGCACTCCCATTTTCGCCTTCACTCCTTTTTCTTCCACCCTTCTTACTTTTCTCAACTCTCCCTTGCATACAGATCACCACCCCCATTTCCATGCCTAGTCCCCTCTACTCTGAAGCCCCCTCTGCAAATAGCATGGGTAGGGTAGGCAAACTAAGGACCAGGGGCCGGATCTGGCCCAATCGCCTTCTAAATCCGGCCCGCGGACGGTCCGGGAATCAGAGTGTTTTTACATGAGTAGAATGTGTCATTTTATTTAAAATGCATCTCTGGGTTATTTGTGGGGCATAGGAATTCGTTCATATTTTTTTTCCAAAATATAGTCCGGCCCACCACAAGGTCAGAGGGACAGTGGAGCGGCCCCCTGCTGAAAAAGTTTACTGACCCCTGCTCCATACTAATATATGTTGCTGTATCTTTAAGATAAGTAGCAAGGTTGTCAGTTAGCTTATTCAGCTAGAGAATGTTAAGTTCAGTCGATGGCTGTTGTACATATCGGGATGTTTGCTTGTTAATAAAATACCTGATCTAAATTACTACAGTGAATCTAGAATTGCATGCTGAAGACAATACATGGTACTAGGAGTAAAATATACTATAGGAAGGTACTATGGAATATTTGAATGCTCTACATTCTTTCTCTCTTCCATGAGGCAGCTGAGGAATGGAAGAAGTTTAAAACAACAAAGCCCCCCCCCTTCAGTATTTCTCCTGTCTTGCAGTACTCAAGGAGAGGCAGATGTCTGAGTAAAGTGAGGGTGGACCGACACTGAGAGGAAAACCATGGTTTTAAACAACAGTAGAGGTTTGAGTAGATAAAAGATGGAGGGACTGACGTCCATTTTTCTTTAGGTGGAAAGAAATTTGGCAAATAAATTGGCTTGGCGTTTCAACATTTGCCTGGCAACTACTGGCAGCAAAATACACACACACACGCATGTAAGTAAGTAAGCAGGCTGCTAGGGGAGAGGCAGAATACATCACTTCTGTGCATTCAACAAAGAAACCCTCCACACCAAGCACTGAAATGTACTTGGTGCTCTAGCCTTTACCTGCTAGCCACCAGTCAGCTTGTAAAAATTTTCTGCAGACTACAGTGGTGCCTCGCAAGACGAAAAGAATCCGTTCCGCGATTCTTTTCTTCTAGCGGTTTTTCCGTCTTGCGAAGCAACCCCATTGGCGGCTAAGCGGATTAGCGCTATTAGCGATTTAGCACTATTAGCAGCTTAGCGGGCTTAGCGGCTAAGCTGTTAAAAGGCTATTAACAGCTTAGCCGCTTTGAAAAATGGGGGGGAAAGCGGGGGGGAAATGGCGAGACTCGCAAGACGTTTTCGTCTTGCGAAGCAAGCCCATAGGGAACTTCGTCTTGCGAAGCGCCTCCGCGACGGAAAACCCTTTCGTCTAGCGTGTTTTCCGTCTTGCGAGGCATTCGTCTTGCGGGGCACCACT